TCTGGAATTCGAAGGACTAAGAGGAGACCTCATGATAACTCACAACGTTCTGGGCATGCCTAGCCGCCCATACCATCACTTACTAAGCCCCAGTTGCGGCACTAATCTTAGAGATCACACACAGAAACTAAGCACGGAACATAGCGGGTTAGATATCAAGTAAAACTTCTGTTCCCTAAGAGTTGTTAAACCCTGGGACGCCCTTCCTGAAGATGTGATCCAGGCGGCTTCGTCTGAATCCTTTAAAACCCGACTGACACGTGGCTGGGATATGCCCAGAACTAATTGAATTTTCACATTTTTACCGCCGAAGTCATTTGTCAGACCAGCGGGTAGATCGTGCACACAAAGCCACAGAAAACTTGACCTATTCACCTTAAGTTATAGGGGAAGAGGGGTAAGCGCGGTAGAAACCCTTAAGGACGCTTACCGACTGAATCACTTCAGTAGGGCAATATTATCGGTCCAAGACCAACAATCCTTCAGGAACTACACTCGTGTAAGATGAGGGGCCGGTCTGACTTCTCTCATAGAGCGTTTGGCCTATGAAACACAGAACCGAAAGTGGCCACACCATCTGTTAGTACACGCGGCTCGTCACGGAAGTTGGCAACTGAAAGTATACCTTAGCACCCATCTGTCACCCAACCCCGGCGTCCTCACTTTGAGCCAAAACCTTTTCACATCATTATTGGCGAAAACACAACTATCCATTATTAATTTTTACTCCTCCTCTCGTTTTGTCTACCCACTCTGTATTTTGTAATACTCGATACTTACCTATCGGTTCCAATAGGGAAAGGAACCGCAAACAAAACAAAACACACAAGGGTTTGCAAAGGAGCACCTTTGGACAAGTAGGCACCATCTTTTTAATCATTATTGGTTACATGGGTACCTAGTAGAACTATGGTATCAGTAGCATGTCTCCATTTCACTCTGCCTCCCGCGCTCTTTCCAACCTGGTTCCACGATTGCCCAGAAGCTTTCATTTCTTCCTCACATGATCTCATCCATGTCACCCTCGAACGCCCAACTCATCGTTTCCTTTTTGGGTTCCACTCGAGAGCCTGGCCTGGCGCGTGGTGTCCCCAGTCGGTCTTCTCAGCATATGCCCAATCCAATCCATCTCCACTTCCTTCTGCATATTTGTTGGGTGATAGGTTGATGGTTGGTTCGTTGCCAGCCAGCCAGCCAGAGTTCCTTCTTGCTTATTCTTATTATTCTGTCCATTTGATCTGATCTTCAGTATCGAGTGAGCGCAGGTGGCAGCTGTTGACATATGCCTGGAGTTTGTTGGAAATGCTTTTGGTGACGCACCAAGTCTCAACCATCACATAGAAGCAGTGACTTGACTGAACTAGTGTTGAAAATCCGGATATTGTTTAGGCTATATGCTGAGTGCAGTGCAGTAGATTTCCACACTGATTTCAGGTTAATGAAAGCCTGTCTTGCTGTCTTTCCGATCCTGGTTTTGACGTCCTCATCTGTGCCTGTGCCGCCTGCAGTTGAAACTATGTTGTCTTGTCTAGGTGGGTGAAAGAGACAACTTGCTTTAGGTTTCTCCCATTGATGGTGGTTGGTGCTCGCTGTTGATCCTGTTTATTGGTTATCTTCATCACTCTGTCCTCTCTACGTTCACTTGAAGCCCTTCTTCGCTGCCTCGCCTCTTCTGTCAACTTGTCGGCTTTTGCCTATCGATCTTCGAGTTTGTGCGACATTAGAAAGAAGTCATCGGGGAAATCGAAATCTTCTCCTGAGGTCTTTTCATTGGTCCAGCTAGCGTATGGTCCTCTTCTCGCTCCTCGCAGTTTGTTGCATGATCCAGTCGACCACAATCAGGAAGACGGTCGGTTGTAGTAGGCAACCTTGTCTTACTCCTGTCTTCACTTTCACACCGAAGGCGTCACTGGGCTTTCCACCGTGAATCACCCATCGTGTAGCCAGCCAGCCAGTCTGTTCCGCTCGTCATTTTGAATCCAGCGCATTGTCTGGTCTCTTCAGCACGGTGTGGTCTGATATTTTACTTGGGGTGTTAGGGCCAGGAGCATGATTCCCTGCCAGTTCTTGCAAACACTTGAGTAATAATAACAACAGTTTATTCCTGAATTTAAAGGTGCATATCATTTTTACAGATACGGTTATAACAACTGGTGGTGGGAAATCGCCTGTAATATCTTCTTTTACAAATATTTTTTACCATCTTTTCATTCCAGTTAGTGGAAATCCCCAGTCTGAAGAAAAAAGGAGACTTCAGACCGCGTATAAATGGTGCACTTTGACCTAACTTTAGAATTTTTGTTGTTTGAAAGTTATCTGGCAGAAATGATCGTCATGTCTAATGGATATGCAACTCAGTAATTTCTTGCTCAAAAAAACAGTGCTGGCTAAATTACTAGAGTGCTTTAATTTTAAGGATCATATATATTGAGCTAAATACCACGGCAAATTCAACGTGTTTTTCAACGGACATGCATCTACGGGTTCATCGATGGATCTGAACATCCTCCGTTTCCGCCTACGATAAATCCAACTTAGTTGATTTTTTACCTTTTTTGTCTTCATTGCGACTATATCATCTAAGTACACTGATGAACTAGGTATGCCAAGCATCAACGGATCTGGTAATTTTGAAATAAAACTGCAGGTATTTTCATGCAGTGAGGAATACAACGATGTCCATAACGTTTTTGTGGGTGTTGATAGTCCTTGTATTCCACCGTTACCCAAATCCGTGAATATGCTACGGACAGGTCCAGCATTTCAAAAACTTACCCCCGTTTAATTTTGCTACAAGGTCTCCAGGCACTGGCAATGGATACTTGTGATTTTTGAGACTTGCGTCAAGTCTTCTAGAACGATACTTGTGTGAGAAAATACTACCATCTTCCTTTTCATGGTGGCCACCGAAGATGCTCGTAAAGAAAAATCGAACGCCTGGATCTATTGATACTGGGCGTTTGTGTTCTTTCCCCATGATAGGTAAGGTAGCACATGGTACCGACATTCTTCGCTGTAGTAAAGGTTCAGCTCCTGCACGTACAGCAGGGAAGGATATTATCTTTGTGCACTACTCAGAAAATACTGTGACACGTCTCCGTCGCAACGCCTCCAGCTTCCAACGAAAAGACTCGGGTACGATGGTTTTCAATAGCCTCGTAGCTTATTTTTTGCAGAAGATGACTAGCAGTTTTTCTGAAAACTATAGTCTCTGCATCCAGCCCAAACCAAAAAGACTGAAGAAAGGTTGGTCTTTCGGGTAAAGTAGTCCACTGCAAGTCACAGTACTTTAGGTAAAACCACCACGAAATCCCCCAGCAATATGCTGTTGGCCGCCTGATGGGCCGTAGGCGTTTGGGGAATTTGGCGAATCCTCGGTGATCCTATTCTGTTCTACGTTTGCCTACTGATGAGTATTATATCCGGGCTGTACGAACCCGCAGACGAAAATGCTCTTCGTTGATTCCTTCAGAAATGCATTTTCATCGCGTCACTGATCCTCTTCCGTGTAATTTTATTACCGCAGTTGACTTGGAGCGTTTATTTTTATGCCTTTTCCGAGCATTGACTTATTTGATCCTGGCATTTAGCGGTCCTGTTTATGGACTTCTGGTACTCCAATTGACATTAAACGGACAAAACCTCACAAAGCGCCAGCTACCATATTGCCAAAACGCAGAAAGGGGTCTGAGGTTATCCTGAAAATCGGTTGCGCAGCTAACATCTACATGCGCTTTCTGACCGACTTTACCGTTTAATGAAGGACCAGAGCTCCTAACCTTTGCTGAGTTGTTATTCAAGTCCACGAGCCCTCGACACTCATTCGAAACTTTTTGGTCTTGTGTTGGGGGGCCCCTCGACTCTACCAAGAACACGAGCACGTATACCAGTATCCCAAGGATAGCACAGGACTGTAACGGAAAAAATGATTTGAAAATCCCTCCTGATTACCCCATTTGATGGTACTGACGTTTATTTGAATATGTTTGCCCTCTTTATGGGTAGTGTGCCTTCGGCTCTAACTGATGAAGTGCCGTTTTGTCATTTGACTATCTTTTTTGGCTTTACACTCATTAATTGTATTTGTTTGATTTAGACATATCGTGAATGTTCCATTTTACTGTTGTTTGATGCTGCACTGTTGACAACATAACGTCGTTTTGCCACTCACGACATTCCGTTTCGGCTCAACTTAAGTTTGTGCTGCCATTTGACTGCTTATCTTCTGACTGGATGCTGGAGGCGTTTGTTTATTGATTTAATTCTGATAGACAGAGTTTTTGATCTCATTTTGTCAGAAATAGTCCCAATGATTCTCATGTACTTAGTAATTTTACTTGGTCAACCAATTTTCACTGTAAAGTACTTATCCGTGTCAGAGAACGTTTGGTACAAGACGTTGGTCAGCTTGAAAAGTCACAAATTTGACTGGCCTTCATTGGTCAACCTTTTATCACTGATGTAAAATCTACAGCAACCATTCTCTTTATTTTGAATGACCTCTCAAATGAAGTGGATACCAGGGAGGATAAAAACGTAATGGCTGACTTCCGGGATGACTAAGATGCCACTGAACACCCTGAGGCACTGCTCTCTGTTGGGGAATGAGCAGTTACAAGTGGTATATCGGCAGCTTATATTTCATAGGGCATGTAGATGCGGTTGCGATGGCACCTCAGGTGCCAGTTGATAAAACACTGCACGAAATACTTACCGATGTAGTAATGGAGGTGATGTTGGTACAAAACATAGCAGGAGAGGATGCTAACAAAATTCTGGAACCTTTTTGAGGATTTCTGCCCACACTGCCCAAGAGTGTACAGTCTGTGTTGAGAAATGGTGGTGCATGTAGCTGCGGGATAGTAGGAATTTACCTTCCTGTCTGGTTGAAGGATAATTTGACTCATCCCGTAGATTCGTGGTTGGATTGCTATTCTTCTGAAGGCGTTGGGCCGCAACTCAGTCATGGCGGATTATAGGTCGCCAGAAGTTCTACTCACCTGTCATTTCCTTACGATTATTGCCTCTTTTTAAATCAGACACAGCTTGTTTTTAACTTACTTAGGAACAGCCGCTTTGAAAATGTCCACCCTCTACTTAGGATCAAATCCAAACGTTTAGTTGACTACAAAATGCTCTTTTTTTCACCCACTCAGGCAAAATAATATTATAGCAATACCTCAGCATTTTTTAAACACGAAAACTGCATGACACGAAGTTATCATAAACTACTACTCATTAAATGCTAAAAGCACGGCTTCGTTAACCGCATTAGTTCATAATTTGAATGGTCAATCACCTTATTTTTCTTCTGGCTTTTCTTCCTGTCCTTCCTCTCTTCTGCTCTCTTTACAAATGCTGATGGAGTCTCAGCCATCGCGACAACTTCATCCTCATCCCCCGGGTGACACCAGTCAACATGCACCTATATTAACCTTCGAAGTACGCCTCCCCTTCTTCCAGTATCATATCATCGCCTACAAACCTATTTCATTCAAGAACATCTCAATTTCTGTCGTATGTATGATGACTTCAAAAAGCGCCATCTTACCCTACTATATTTCACTTGCCAGTGGCTCTTGTAGTTAATAAAATTCCGATGCCCTCAAACCGTTACGGTATTACTAGTCATGGGTCTTTGTTCTATTAGACACTAATTTATCGTGAATCCTGTGGTTTTTAAACCCGGCAGTAAACTTCAGTGTCACTTACCAACATTCACCTGCTCATAAAGATTGTTCTGGTCTGCACATCCCAACTGCGAAGAATTCACTTTATCCGGAATACATTTTTAAGAACTCCACACTAACTAGTAATTCGCCTTAACGAATTTTATTTACTCCAGACGTTCAGGATGCGAGTGCCTGTTTCATTTGCAACCTGTACAAATCATATCTTATTCACTGGAAAGTGTGAACATGTTTTTCGTGTAGATAAACCATGTTGCCTTTATGCGCCTACCGCATCGGAATCCACCACAGACCTGGAACAGTTCCGCAAGACCTGGAAGCGAGTGCATGGGAATCAGTTGGTTTTCGGTAGCTCCTAAAAAGATATTGGAAAAAGGTTCGGTTCTGTTTCAGAAATGAACAATATGATTGTTGTTAGTGGAAACGCTCGAAAATTGATTTCAGACTCCCCCTTAAGTAACTCTCAGTCTCTTGACAACAGAAAGGAGAAGCAAAATGGTGGAACGGTCTTTGTTAAGTCAAGGAGCGCACATTTTGCTCGTCTCCATCCATCTCGACAAAATCCACATTTACGGCCATCCACTAGGAGCTTTCGACTCCTCATTCAACGTTTTGCAACAATCTTGCTGCAGAAAATACCACTGCTTACTTCATCACCACTATTACGCTCCACACGAACAACTGTGTGGTAGGTCAAGCTGTCTCGACCAACTGTTATAGCTCAGATTGCTGTATCTGCAGCAAAATATATCTCACTAACTTCTACGTCCAAGACTTGGTAGTTTTTGAACTTCGATAGAGTTGCAGGAACAGACGATTGAAGGTAAGGTCGAGAGTATTCTGTTTACTTGCTGTGCATTTTCATTGCTCTACTCCTTTTATCTTCATCTGTTTATTGATATGCGTGGTAAGAGTGCGCTGGCCCCGAAAAAGGCAAGCAGTAGAAATGCTTTGAGTACAATCTCGCCACAGTTACTGACCACCTCACCTTCAGTGGTTACCAGGGCTGGATCTACGAGACTCCAAAACGTGGCAAAGAAAGCAACTGAGGATACGAACGCACCACCTAGGTCCACCTCACCGGAATGGTCACAATCACGGTTTGCAACAGTCGAAGTTAGCCAATCAACCAGTCCTCCCGGCACTGTAAACGTCACTACGCCTAATCAAGTAGACCCAGAGCCCCATGCTACTCACTGCACCACCCCGATCTCCCAGTGAGAACCACTAGACCGAAATGTCAAACAGTAGGGCATAAACGTTGAGGAAAACCATACGGACACGACGACAACTGCCACACATGTGTTCTCACTGTTACCAAAAGTGATGCTGCCCTTGAGTGCAACAGCTGCGACAGATGGGTGCACTGCTGATGTGACAAGGAAGTGCCACATCAGTACTATAGCCTTATGGTGCATCACCCGTGCACGTGGTTTTGGTACATTTGCCTACAGTGCCACCTGGGACCGCACCTAGCTTCAGGCTTCCTCAAAGTAACTGATAAATCTCCATCAATCAAGTGGCCCACTCTGCGATCTTTTCCAATACTCCTTGGATGAACAAAAGCTCCCAGGAGAGTGGAAACAGGCTATCCTTTCCCCCATCTTCAAAGGAGGAGGCAGACAGAATCCCAGCTGTCATAGACCCATAGCACTTCTCCCAGTAATATAAAAAGTTATGGAAAGTGTGGTGGACGACAGTACCAGGGAATATCTGGACAAAAAACAAGCACTCGGTGACTCTCAACATGGCTTCCGGAAGGGTAGGTCCTGTACCTCCAACCTCCTGATGGCCCACGGTCACTGGACAGCATGCTGGGATCTCAAGGTCTCGGTCCACGCAATTTTTCTGGACTTCGCCAAAGCCTTTGACGCCGCCTCACATACGATCCTAATACACAAGATAGCTGGGTTTGGTATTCGCAGCCAGGTGCTACCGTGGCTGGAGAACTAATTAGACAACAGGGAGTTCTGCACAAAAGTCAATAGGGTCTACTCAACTTAGAGAACATCATCATCCGGTATCTCACAAGGAGCAACCTTGGGCCCAGCGTTGTTCCTACTGTTCATGAATGACCTGCCACAACATATCAGCTCCCCGATTCTCCTATGCGCTGATGATGTCAGGTTATGGAGGGCAATAACTTACGAAGCGGAATCTATGGCATTACAGAAGGACCTCAGAACACTAGAGGAATGGGGAACTAATAACGAACCAGCATTTAACCTGGCTAAGTGCCAGTCCATGTTTTTCCACACTTCTGATCCCCAGAAAGCATCCTACCATCTCTGTGGTTCACGTCTGTCCCACACTACAGTAGAAAAAGACCTGGGTTTAACGGTGACGGAGAAACTGGACAGCAGTCCCAATCACCCAGGTGATGTCTCAAAAGCATATGACGTACTACACTTTGTGCGTAGACAACTGGGTGCCCTCGCCCCAGAACCCTTCTGAAGCCCTACAAGACTTACGTACGGCCCCACTTAGAGGCCCATAACGTCCTCGCTCCACCACAGCTGAAAAGAGGCGCAAACCTACTGCAGAAAGTCCAGAGGCCAGCCACAAAAGGGGTTGCTGGAATACAACAAAAACCATATGAGGATAGACTGAAAGACCTAGGCCTATACTGTCTACGCTATTGAAGGATGCGTGGGGACTTAATAATGGCTCACAAAGTAATGAGTAACCCAAGTCACCCAAACAAAGGAGTCCCACCAAGTGGCCACCATGGCGATCCTCGAGGAAACCCCAATAGAATAGACCACCAAAGGTCAAAAACGCATGTGCGCTCACAGTTCTTCGCCCTCCGAGTCTGTGGGTACTGGAAAGCAATACCGGCAGAGGTGGTCTCCTCCCCAACCGTTGAAAGCTTCAAGAAGAGGCTAGACAGTCGTGCAGAGACTCATGGTTTACCCACACATAGCCGGAACACGAAGTGATGTCAAGCCGCTCCAACCACTAGTCTTTCTATTTTAACCATTTAAGCCCTTTTCACCCCTTCCACTTGCCATAAGTTAGCCTCACTTACCTAAGTTCTTCACGCCTTTGCACCCCTATTCATCTTACTTATGTGTAAGTAGATTACTTCATTAGTCAAATTTTCCTTCCTTTTTTTGCTCACATAAACATTTTCTAGGTTTTCTCTTCACTATCCCTAAGCCTCTGTAGCGACCAGTCCGAACAACTGTCTGGCAACTCGACATCTGAAGAAGCCAACTGCACCACAGTCCAAGGCAAACAGACCAACACTTAACTTCCGGATCTGTAAATCAGAGCCATAGGAGACGAGTGGCTGGATCTACTGCATCGGAATCCACCAGAGATCTGGAACCGTTCCACAAGACCAAGAAGCCAGCAAGAAGAAATCAGCTGGTTTACACAAGCTCGTTAAGAAGATATTGGATATTGGATGTGTTTTCAGCGGCCTTGACATTTTCTATGACTTAAAAGGGAGCCATCGTTACGTATCCTGATATATACTTCTTGAAAAAGCAAAAACATTAACCACTTGTGTCCAAAAGGTAGTTGTTGACAATATAAATCTCTTACAACAAAATATCCCAGTATTTGGAGTATATTACATACACTTCAGCCAATTCCTTATAGCAAACTACCTGAGCACGATTAGATGTGAGAAACCCGCTTCACTTATGTGGCTCAAGGTCGCTTGGAAACAGAAGCCAGCCAAATTCGATTTGGGGATAGCTTATAGTCACATTCCTTAGATGAGGCTATTACTCACGAACATATGCCTTTCGTGGATGTTTGACCTGCAGTGATTGGTTTTGAAAGCCTTGAGGGAATTTCGAGCTTTTTTGAGAAATCTAGGAGATAATGGTTCACTCCATAAGGTTAGCTTAATCGAGGCACTGTGTATCAAAAGACAAGAGGAAAGTATGGGACAATCAGAGGCTCTCCATGAAAATTCCAGATAGTAGAGCATGTATGAATTTAAGTAACCAGTGTAAGGTGAAGGTTCAGGGGGACTGTTGCTGTGGACAAGCCTTGTCCAGAAGTCTAAGACGAACTCCGAGAACCTATGTCGACTCATAGCGAAGTAAAAATCTACAGACTAAGGAACATGCATTATAATAGTCAGATATGGGGGGAACCTCCCTTGGCTGGGGGACCAACTCTGATGCGCAGACATCATCGTGATACGCAACCACGTGTTCCCCTAACTCTAATAGACTGCAACATTACTCGACGTAGAAGACTTACCCAGATTAAAGATAGCCTTCTCCAGTATGTGTTAAAACAGGGTATGAGCTCTTTACTTGGTACGCAGTGCAATCTTTTTTAATAATCCTTGGATGA